TGTTGTCATCACTGTAAGTTTCTATACAACGACAATATTAGTTCTCTGCATTTAACCCATCACACATAAGATACACCCAGGTGGAGCAGTGAGCAGCTATGTAAGCACACGGGGAACAATTAGGGATTAAGTGTCTTGCTTAAGGAAACCATGACATGTGGGCATGGTGGGGAGTTGAACCTGTGACTTTCTGGTCCCAAGTCGACTGCCCTACCTCTACATCACAGCAGTCCCCTGAGGCTGTGCATTTGAGCCCAGACTGCACCAGGAAGGGCATCAGGTGTAAAACACTTGCCAAATCTTACATGCAAGTTGACTCACTGTGGTGACCCCTGAAGAAGGTAGCAGCTGAAAAGAAGAACAAAGGCCCTGCTGTATCCTGCTAACTGTGTCCTGCATTGGGTCTTTCCACCCATCACTCTTCATTTTGTAACAACACACAAAAAACAGCTGCAATGGCTCAGTTTCCATATCAGTACAACCTAAACACAAAATGATTGACACGAATGTCTGTAAAAGTAACACAAATACAGGAAGTGACAATAATTGTGTTAGCTTATTTACCCTCTATCAGCTACACTTCAGGTAGTTGTGCCAACTGGCTGAAGTGTAGCTGAAGTGATATTAACCAAACTAAGGCTGTGTGACTAATTTTAGAAGCTGGCCATCAAACAAAGCTCTTTTCTTCTAAAACTGACAAGTGGTAATTCTAATCAGTCAAATCAGCCTCAGTGGTGATGAAGGGGTAGTCTGGCTAATTAGAAGAAAAAATAAAGGTTATGCAAAGAAAAACCAAGGACACAGTCCGTTCTCGTTTATTTTTCCATCGCATGTCTCGGTGTTCCTGTGTCCTGATTTGTGCTTAAAATGTAGACAGCGTAGGAATGATAGCAGGCATTCCAAGCCATGAAGTTTTTTTGTTTGTGTGTGCGTGTGTGTGCACGTGTCCTCATACAGCAAATGCATGAATCATAACTGAGCACACAACTGCCACAGGCAGGGTGGCATCAGGTCAGGGGAGGTCAGACGAGCTGCCCACATGCTGCGAAGAGCCAATGAACACGCTTCAGAGCGCTCCAAATCAAAATGATGCTCAGACAGAAATCCAGACGCCGCTCAAAGACAACACAAAGTGACCTGAGCTCCAGCAGAAGCGAGAGCTCGAAAGAGGCCGTTGAAACTAGCCTTTCCATTTGGAGCGCATTTCAAGTCCGCCGGTCGTTAATGATCGTGTCCAAATCTGACAGCATCCAGCTGAGACCGAGGACCCTTGAGCAGCACAATGAAAGTACTTCTGAAGCTTGGTCATAAGTCCAAACTCTTGCTTTGGTTAGTCTGAAGCTTTCCTGCAATTTGAATGGAAGCTGCAATGGTAGCAGTGAGAACATAAATAAAAATAAATGAAATGAGGGGCATACAAATAAAGAAAAAATATCTGATGTAACATCACAGGAAAAGAACATAACTGTTCTGAGAAGTTTTTTCTATCTGCTGCTCTTATTTTTCAGTTGAAGTTGATATAGTCTTCACCTGGCCTTCCTTAAACATGTACGAACAAGGCAGGCTTTGAAAACTCTGCTGAGTGCTCTTTCAGCTGATGTCTCTTTTTGTGACCTTTCACCATCTCTATGTCCTTCCTGTAATCCTGTCTCTGGCCTTCTGCTAATCGTGCATCTAAAAAACACCTCATGACTTTTCCAGTCTCTTCAAAACTCCTCCTTTTTCCTCTGTCCTCCACATCTCATCAAGTCCTCAGACAATATGTCTCATTGGTGATCCCATTACAATTCCCAAGGTGCATCACTGCTCCATCTCCCCGTAATGGATTTCCAAATCTTCGACGATCAGACGAGTCACATTGTCGTGTCTCCTCCCTTGGTGACATCACTCTGTAAGCTGTTAAGAAATGTATAAATCCTCTCTGTGTTATTGGGATCGCTCCAACAGGCTCCCCGTTATACACAGAGCTCTACTCCACAACTCCAACTCACTTCAGACAACAACAGAAGACAGTTATAAAAAGACATAGAGATTTTAATTTATTTTTACAAATAAGATGGCCAAAAAAAGTAACAAAAACAGCTAGATTATAAGGCGAATGTAGAAAACTAAAAACAGGAACATGTCTGCATTGGTCCTTGTCCGGAGTCCAACAGATTCTTAAAGCCACTTAGAGAGGTCAAGGTCGAGAGCTTCAGATCTTTTTTCAAGATATTCCAGGAAACAGGAGCAGAGTAGGAGAAGGCCCTTTTTTTCAAGTTCAGTTCTCAATGAGGAAATACTGCAGGTAATAATGTCCTGAGAGCGTATGCTGTAGCTGCACTTACACAGAGACATGTAGGAGGAGATGTATGAAGGCAGCAGACCAAGAAGTGTTTAAAAATGAAAATGTACCAGTGGGAGAGTCTGCGTGAAGTTAATGATGTCCAGTTAACCAGTGAATACAGGGTGCAGTGGTGGGTACGGTAGTTACAGCCAGTTATGAATCTTAGTGCACCATAATAGACAGCATCCAACATCTGCAGGGTTCTTGTAGGAGCGTTCATGTAAATAATGTCACCGTAGTCAATGGAGGGAAGGAAGGTCACAGATACAAGGCATTTTCTAGCATTCAGAGTTAGACAGGATCTGTTTCTGAAAAAGAAACCCAGTTTTACTTTCAGTTTCTTTACTAGGTTTTCCACATGGAGCTTAAAAGAGAGATGTGAGTCAACCAAGATACCCAAACATTTATAGGAATCAACAAACTCAATGGGGACACCATTTGAGGATAAAATCAGAGGAAGAACTGTTGGGACCGACTTCCTGTTTGAAAAAACATCCCTTTGGCTTTATTGGCATTTAAGACAAGTTTGAGGTGGAACAAATTTGACTGGATGATGTTAAATGCAGATTGCAAACGCTGAAAAGCCTTATCAACTGTTTTAGCTCGACAATAAAAAACTGTGTCATCAGCATAGAAATGTAAGGATGTGTCAAGGATGCTCTAACCTACATTACCTATGTAGATTGTAAAGAGGGTGGGTACTAAGACTGAGCCTTGTGGTACACCATTGTTGACTGCTACATAACTGGAGGAAGTACCATTATGTTGAACACATTGCCTCCGATCAGAATGTTTAGAATATTGCGAGTGTAGAAAAGGTTTAATACTAAAATAAGCTACTTCTTACTACTTGTACTACTATTCCTACTTTGCGTTTTTTTCACTTATCACGGCGCTTCAGGATATGGCTCCCCCACAATAAATAAGGGACTACTGTATTTTAAGATTTGTTAATGCATTTCTCGAACACCCTCAAGATCCATGTAACACAGATGTTCAATGCACAAGGAAATTGAGAACCCTCACAAATGTTTCCAGACATTTTGGAAACTCAATTACGAACACCATTCTCAATTAAGTGCAGCACAGTGTGACACTGGCATCAGCCTGCAGTTTTACAATTAAGTTCATAATGAGGGACAAAGGCTTACATAATACTAAGAACAGTGACTGCAAAGAAGGAACTACACAGACGTGATGTGTGGCTAACCCATACAGCATTCACACAGCAGTCCTTTGTCTTCCTTCTGCATAAAGCAACAGAGATTTGTCCTAAAAGCCACTCAGCTTACAGCTCGTTCATGCTTAAAAATGATGTTCATGTTCAGTCTCAGTCCAAACTTCACTCAGAACTTTTATTCCATTTATGAACAACAATTATCTTGTACTAAGCAAAAATAATTTAAATAAATAACTAAACGTTTGCATTGTGAAGGTATTTGTAATGACAATGAGTAGGCCTGTCAGGATAACAAATGTTGCTTGGGAATTAATTGTCTCAGAAATTATTGCGATAAACGATAATATTGTTTGAAATTTGACAATATTTAGTAATTATTGTCAAATTTAAGAAGAAATGTTGGTTAATTTTTGTGTTTAGTACCTTTTGTGACCACTGGATGGCAGTATAAGACTGTTTGAACCAAAGGGTGGATAGTGAGGGCGTTAGCAGCGTGTCTCTTTAAGAAAAATGGGAGGGAGGCTCCTGTGACATGGGCTGTCTCTATTTTTTTTTTTGGTTCTCAAAATGGCGGATGCTCTGTGTGGTTTGAGCTCTTTAGCATAGCATTTTTCACACAAAGCTTTTAATAAAAAAATCAGTAAACAAGTTATCAGCTTCTTTTATCAGAAAAACAACTTTTTACACGAAGGCACGGTTTCAACCGTGAATTTTTGGAGCTTTGACAAGACAGAGTTTTTTTTTCCCCCCGAGGTCATCCTGTTAGCTTAGCTCGTAGCATAGCTTCTCAGCTTAGATGCTTTCAACCATCCATGAACACAATTTTGGATGGTTACATGGATTTTAAAGAGAAAAGAGAAAGGGAGGGGTCATTGAAGAGCACTGGATTTGAGCCTTTTGTCATCCAGTGTCCAGTAGAAAGAGAGACACAGAAACGATAAAGCCGATAAATGAAAATGAGGTCGATATTTTTCATTTATCATGAGATTAATTGATTTGTTGTTTATTGTGACAGGCCTAACAATGAGTTTGTGTAAATTTGGAGAAAACAACGATACTCAGCATCCCATCTGTCCCACACCTGGCTCCAAACATAACACTGTAAGTGTCCATGTCTGAGGTGCTATATGGCAAAATGACTTCAGTGACTCCTCTGATAACAAACACTGTGATTTCTGAATACACACCTGTGGCTCATGGGTAAATATGAGTCATTATAACCACTTCAACCTGTTCTAGGCACATCCTTATATAAGACTTTGGTAAATGGATGCAGACGATGTAGAAAAAATTCATTTCTGTGCTAAATTAATCCTTTACAAAACCTATCATCCAGAAAAGCTCTTGTCTTGTCCTTCAAATACTGTACGTTGCTCATTCTGTTCACAGAAACATTAGAGACGGCTTTTCAAAAATATTGTAACACACGCAGTACAAAACACATTTACACAGACTCTTTAATCGCCACAGATTAGTGAATTGTATTCTGTTTACCTTTGGCGTTTTAGTGCACTTTCCATTTCTGGCATCTTTAATGTAGGCAATATCCAACAGCTCCGTTTCCTAAAAAGATGCAGACGAAACAGATAAATTAACAGGAGAGCCCATTTGTTCTCTCAAAGGCTTCAAAGGCTTTTTAGAGCACAAAGAAATGCCATATCTATGAAAGTAATGCTGGGATCTGAGGTGATTGGAGACATTTTCAGGAGCCCTTTTCTTTTGACTCACGTAATACTTATGACTGAAGACACTGTGTGTGCAACTTCTGTGTGTGTTAAGTATCCTTGTGTCTATTGGGTGTCGTTTGTAAAGTTACACAGTCAAAAATTAACATCAATATTTTGGGGTTTTTTTAGCCTTTAATAAGAAAAAAGTAGTTTTTTTTTCAAAGTCATATTTTCATCATGTTATTCATACATTTATAAATGTCATAGTTCCAAACTAAATATTTAATTGACAAGCTAAATATTTTGTTTACAAACTAAATACTTAACTTACAACTTAAATATTTACTTAGTAAACTAAATATTTAGGTGTAAATTAAGTATTTAATTTCCAATCTAAATATTTTTTTTCAAAACTAAAAGTTTAATTTCCAAACTAAATATTTATTGTCCAAGCTAAATATTTAATTTCCAAACTAAACATTTAATTTCCAAAATAAATATTTAATTTGCTAACTAAATATTTAACTCAGCAGTATGGTGGCACAACAAGCTGCTGCCTCTCAGCGAGCAGGTTACCCTGGTTCAAATCTCAGTCCGGGACCTTTTTACGTGGAGTTTGCATGTTCTCTCCGTGCATGGGTGGGTTTTCTCTGGGTACTCAGGTTTCCTCCCACAGACCGAAAACATGCAAGTTAGGCTGACTGGTAACTCTAAATTGTCCCTAGGTGTGAGTGAGAGAGTGAATGGTTGTTTGTCTTGTTTGTATGTGTCCCTGTGATGGACTTGCGACCTGTCCAGGGTGTCCCCCGCCCCTCGCACAGTGATTGTTGGACATGGGCACCGGCGACCCCCATGACTTAAATGGAAAAAACAGGTAAAAGATAATGGATGGATGGAAATATTTAACTCTCACCTAAATATTTAACTTGCAAGCTAAATATTTAGTCAGCAAATTAAATATTTAGTTAGGAATTATTGTTTAGCTAAAAAATTAGATATTGAGTTTAGAAATTAAATATTTAGTTTGGAAATTAAATATTTAGCTTGGAAATTAAGCATTTAGTTAGGAATTAATTGTTTAGCTTAAAAATTAAATACTTAGTTTGGAAACTAAAAATTTAGGTTGAAATTATTATATGAATATAATTTACACATAAATATTTAGTTTACTTACTAAAATGTTTAAGTATTTAGCTTGTAAATTAAATATTTAGTTTGGAACTATGACAATTATAAATGAATAATATGATGAAATTATTAAAAGCTAAATAAATCAAAATATTGTTGTTAATTTTTGACTGTGTAACTTCACAAACAGCTCCCCATATGTGTCGTGATGCACACAGCAGCCTAATGTCCCATGTCACAGGGGACTCATTCATTGAAGACAAATGCATCCAAAATGATCCTCTGCTCAGCAAATGAGCCAAATTAGGACAAAAACATAATGTTCCAATGTTGACTGGTGACCTCACTCACTCTCTCCCACACACACACAGGCGCAAACTTGAATTAAAATTGACCAATAAATACACAGGCTGACAGGAGTTTTTTTTTTTTTTTTTTTTTTCAAAGAGTGCTGATTTTTGTGATGGATTATGTCATCGGCTGCTTCAGACCACTAAAATCGCTGCTGGAAAGGAAACAAAAACAGGACTAGATGAAAAACATTTCACACATACACGATGTTCAGCTGCTGCATGATGTTCTGCTAAAGCACCTTGCACAGGGACTCAGCTGTGTGAGTGGTGGCTAACAAAAAGAAAGAACTAACAAAGTCATCCCTGAATGGGTGCATTATTAAATCAGAAAAATGGTGATTGAAGATGTCTGCGGGAGAATTTTCACTACACTGACACGTTGATGAGCTAACAGCTAGTCCGAGTGGGACAAAAAACAAAGTTCTGTCTTTAAATAACCCTACTTTAAAATGTCCAAAATGTCCCTTTGTCTTTTTGAAACAAGAATTTCTATTAAACCAAAGCCTGCCGTTTCAAAGCAGCAGGTTTAACACTGGAGCAGCGGTGTTGGCCCATTAACTGTCTCCATAGGATCCTAATGTATCTATTAATTTACTGACTGTCTGAAATTTGTTTAGCAATGAGTGGACAGTGAAAGCATCTGAACAGACTGCTCCTGGAGCCTTTCCTCAGACACTACTCCCCTTATCAGTCTGAATCATCTTAGACTCCAGACAGCCGGGACACAAGGCGGAAAATTAACCGGAGCAAACCGTGGATTCACTCAGCATTATCTGTGTGTGTGTGGAGGGGGTGGGGTGGGGGGGACAAGAGGCAGTTCAGGTTTGACTCAGTTTTTAGCCTCATCAGTATCTGACCATCTCAAGGAGTACTGTGGAAAATTGCACCTGTCCATTCTTGCTTATCTTCAGTAGGATACTCACCTTAAGTTCCCTTTTCCTCTCCAAAATGTCCTTTCTATTCATATTCTTATTTATTCTTATTTATTTTTTAACCTTTATTTAACCAGGCAAATCCCATTGAGAAAATGAGGCCTGGGCCTGAAGGCAGCCTAACATGCATGTTTTTGGTCTGTGGAAGGAAACCGGAGTACCCGGAGAAAACCCAAGCAAACACAAGAAGAACATGCAAACTCCACACAGAAAGACCGCAGGTCCAACCAGGGATTGAACCCAGGACCTTCTTGCTGTGAGGCAACAGTGCTAACCACTGATCCATCGTGTTGCCATTTCTCACTGCTGAAAAAAGCCTGTTTTTGCCCATGTCGGTTTCTGTTCATGTGCCTGTTAGCAAAATATCTTATGAACCACTGATTCATTTTTAATGAAACCCTCAAAAAGAACCAAACATGCATAGGTATACCTCAGTCAGTTTCAGAGATATTGAGCTGGATTTACAGTGGAAGTAGCTAAGAGTTATTCATAACACACAATCTGAGTGGCAATAGGTTTTTGTTTAAACCTTTGGCATTGACTTTGAGATAATTTTGTTTGTCTGTTGACAAAATATCTCATAAACAACTGGACAGATGTTTTTCATTTGTTTTTTACTTTTAGAAATCAATCACTGAATGTAGGGATGCCTCTATCAGGTTTTTATGCTGCTAATCACTGATATCGATCACGCATGGTGCCTATCACCGATACCAGTCACATGGACTGGCTGCATATTTTTTTGATTTAGGTAAGATGAGGTACGTGATCTGGAAAATAGGAACCATAAAATCAACTTAATGGCCAAAAACACGTTTTTATTTACTTTTTCCAAGACAAATAACATTTTTAAAAACTTGCAGGAACAATGCAGCAACTATTCAGGCAAAAGGACAACTGAAAAAAAATGTACCTGCTATCAGTAATACAATCTTTAACAGACTGTTAAGGCTCGCAACAGGCGAAATGGTGCAGAAAGTCAAATAAATCTCAAAACATTGCTTAAATAAATAAACCACCGGACCTCTGCAGGCTGCAAAGGTGATCAGTTTTTGTGATCGGCACTGAAGGGCATTGATCGGTATCGGCCGGTCACATACTTTTTAACGAAAATCAGCCTATCGTGATCAGTGGCCGATTGATCGGAACATCTCTAATGGAAGGTGTATCTACAACTGATTCACTTTTGAAGTCAACTCAATTAAACATGACCATCACTGTTAATTTCACCCCCCACCCCTCAGCTGCTCGCTTCTTCAGGGGTCACCACAGCGAACTAACTCGCTCGAATACTTGGCAGTTGTTTTTATGCCGGATCCCCTTCCTGACACGAGGACAGACCACCGAGCTACCACAGCCCTCTGTGTGGAGGAGAGAGCTGCCATCGAGAGTGCCCGGGGGAACAGATGGTGGGGGTGAAGGGCATTGCTCAAGAGCCCAGAGTATGACAGATGAATGTGGAGGCAGGTATAGGTGCGTCACCTTTCTCACCAACGTTTTGATGTTGTCGGTCTGGGGTGTTGAACCTGCGACCTTCCGATCACAGGTAGCCAATCACAACGCACACTCGGATTGCTACTCATTGCACAAGATCATTGCTTAAAACGTTACATTTAACTATTGGTGCCAACCCTGTTTGTTAGCAAACATCTCATGGACCACTGCACAGATGGTAATGAAACCTTCACAAAGTAAGCGTTGCATGTGCATCTGTAAGTGATTAACTCTTGGAGTCAATTTAGATAAGATTGCCACAGCTAACTGACATTTGTCAACACTTAAATGGCTTTAACTCAGCCAGTTTTACATGTGGTTAAGATCTGATGTGGTAGTAGCTGAGAGTCATGCACAATTCATACTCTGAGTGTGACAGCTTGCAAAACTTCATAAGGTCCATAGAATACTTGGTTCAACAGAGCTGTCAACAAAAGCTGATGAAACTGGCAAGAAAGGTGGCAAGCTAGATGTATGTCACGCCTTGCATTAGCTTTTAATTATAAACAGCTCTGTACAAGTATTTTCTTTGCTGTGGTGATTTTAGACTCAGTTAAGTTGTTCCTGTTTGCACAGGGAGGCTGGGAGTCAAAGTTCAACTTGGTCTGCTTTTGAAGTCTTTGCAGAGCTGGAGCTCCACGTGGGGGTCTGGTGGATCAGTTGGACATCAGGAAGTAGCTTTGCTGATCAGGTGCTTCTTTCTGCCCTCCAGCCCTGCACAGATAACGTGGCTCTAAGCTGCGTAAGCGTCATCCGTTGACCTATAAAGATGACTTCTGAAAGGTAAAGTCATCTGTCTGGACGGGTGATAAGCTGCTCACAGTGGGCTGCAAGTAGCCATTTCCGTGACATCCAAAGATTTGACTCAGTATTTGCTGCAGGGTGTAGACATTTACTGATATAATTAAAATTTGATGCCTGCAAATGTCAATAATATGAACTTGAAGCTACAGCTGGTAGCAAATTAAAGCCCTTTCTGTCAAACCAGT